GCCAGATCGTGTCCTCCATCACTGCTTCTCTGCGTTTCGATGGTGCCCTGAATGTTGATCTGACAGAGTTCCAGACCAACTTGGTGCCATATCCCCGTATCCACTTCCCTCTGGCCACCTATGCTCCTGTCATCTCAGCTGAGAAGGCGTACCACGAGCAGCTCTCAGTGTCTGAGATCACAAACGCCTGCTTTGAGCCGGCCAATCAGATGGTGAAATGTGACCCTCGTCACGGTAAGTACATGGCCTGCTGCCTCCTGTTCCGTGGAGATGTGGTGCCCAAAGATGTGAACGCTGCCATCGCCACCATCAAAACCAAGCGCACCATTCAGTTTGTGGACTGGTGTCCCACTGGTTTCAAGGTTGGCATCAACTACCAGCCACCCACTGTGGTCCCTGGTGGAGACCTGGCCAAGGTCCAGAGGGCTGTGTGCATGTTGAGCAACACCACGGCCATCGCAGAGGCCTGGGCTCGACTCGACCACAAGTTTGATCTGATGTACGCCAAGAGGGCCTTTGTCCACTGGTATGTAGGAGAGGGAATGGAGGAGGGAGAGTTCTCTGAGGCCAGGGAGGACATGGCAGCTCTGGAGAAGGATTATGAGGAGGTCGGCGTCGACTCCGTTGAGGGTGAGGGAGAGGAGGAAGGAGAAGAGTACTAAAAAGAAGTCTAAATTGTTTTTCAGTGCATTCCAGATGTTTGTCAATCAGCTGGAGAACCACTTTGGCTGATTTAAACTGCTGAAAATGTCAAGTTTGACTGTTCTGAATAAAATCTTTCTGACCTGAAGTTTTGTCTTTCATTAATATTTACAAGCATTTATTCATGCGAGCGTTGCTCAATTTTCAGTCCTTTATAACTTAATGAAAAGAACATGGTAAAGGTAAATTGTGTAATTGCCACAAGACATTTTGTTTACACAATGTTGCAACTATCCAAAAGTGCCTGTAAAGTCTCGGTGATGCAATAAGGCGTGGCAGAAAAGAATTGAGGCTTGTCATTAAAGCACCACCAGAGGGTGCAGATAACCAGTCAAATGTTGCTTAAATGTCTTCTAAAATCCAGATTCCTTCAAATATGGAGTAAAACAAAAAATACACAATTCAAAGTATGTTCTGCCATATCAGTGTGCCATAAACCATCGATTCTCAAACCTTTCAGCTTCTGAGCCATAAAAAGAAAAATCAGATCTAACCCGTAATACCTTACAATTACACTAAGAAAAGCAGGTTCAAATCACAGAACTATTGCTTTAGCAAGTAAAAATACACTGATCTCAGTTTTAGTTGGTATCTGAGGGTCATCTTAGGATCCCTAGCTTAGTGTTTCATGACCTACAGTGGGGTCACAATCCAGCTGTGGAGAGCACGTGTGAACTGATATCCGAGACAAAGATGTAGGCCTCATTCTGGGCACACTCACCTTACTTTATAAACTTCAGTGAATTACATGTAAATCAAATGGAGTGGTGGCGCAGAGGTTAAAGATGGGCCTGTGATCAGAAAGTTGCAGGTTCAACTCCCGATACAGTCAACATCAAAATGTGGGTGGAAAAAGTAAAACACCCATACCTCCCTCCACCCTCATTTGCCCCACTCTGGGCCCCTGAGCAAGGCCCTTAACCCCCACCATCTGCTCCTAAACAGAATCAGAATCAGAATGCCTTTATTGTCATTATACGTAGTACAATGAAATTAAGAGCCACTCCTTTTTCCAGTGCAAAAACACGCCTTAAGAAAACACATTAAACACACTAAAAATATGAAAAATGTAACGCAATATAGATATAATAATGAAAGTAAAAAAATACAAGTATTACACAATTATATTGCACATTATGGATATTAGTGAGGAAGTTAAGGTGACTGAGGGTATGAAATGTCAGTAGTATTGCACAGTAGAAGTCCAGGTGTTTGGGAGGTTAGATGATTAAATCAGTGCATGTGTGAGTTCAGTGTGGTGATGGCTTTCGGGAAAAAACTTCTTGAATCTGTTTGTTCGTGTTCTGATACACCTGTAGTTTCCCTGAAGGTAACAAGTCAAACAGTTCAAAACTCGGGTGTGAACAGTCCATGATTATGTTTTCTGCTCTGTTGAGGCAGCGTGATGTGTAAATGTCCATCAGGGAGGGGAGAGGGCAGCCAATTATCTTTTGTGCTGTCTTGACTACTCTCTGAAGCCTCTCCCTGTCAGCCAGGGTGCAGCTGCCGTACCATACTGAGATGCAGTATGTCAGCAGGCTCTCCATGGACGAGCGGTAGAAGGTCAGCAGCAATTTAGTGTTCAGGTTGTGCTTCTTAAGTACTCTTAAGAAGTGTAGTGTCTGCTGAGCCTTCTTGATGACCGCTGTGGTGTTCTCTTTCCAGTTTAGGTCAGCAGAGATATGGACACCAAGAAATCTGAAAGTGTGAACCCTCTCCACGCACTCGCCGTTGATGTAAAGGGGGGCTAGGTTGGTGCTGCGCTTCCTGAAATCAATAATCACCTCCTTGGTTTTTTTGATATTCAGAGCCAGATTTTTCTCTGAGCACCAGGTTGCTAGCTCCAGGACCTCCTGTCTGTAAAATGTCTCATCTCCCCTTGAGATTAGTCCGACCACTGTGGTGTCATCAGCGAACTTGACGATGAGGTTGTTGTTGTGGGCCGGGCTGCAGTCATGGGTGTAGAGACAGTACAGCAGGGGGCTCAGCACACAGCCCTGTGGGGAGCCAGTGCTCAGCGTACGAGTGGAGGAGAGGTGGGGACCAAGTCTTACAGACTATGGCCGATTGGTTAGGAAGTCTTTTATCCAGGCACATGTGAGTGGGGGGAGGCCGAGATTGTCCAATGTATTTATAAGAATGTCCGGAATGATTGTGTTAAAGGCCGAGCTGTAATCCACAAAGAGCATTCGAACGTAGCTGTGCTGTTGTTCCATTTGGCTCAGCGCGGTGTGGAGAGCTACTGCAATAGCATCCTCTGTGGACCTGTTGCTGCGATATGCAAACTGGTAGGGGTCAAAGTTCGGAGGGAGATAGTCCATGATGTGCTGGAGAACCAGTCTCTCGAAGCACTTCATGATTACCGGAGTGAGAGCCACCGGTCGGTAATCATTCAGGCTGGTGATGGTAGGCGTTTTCAGCACTGGGATGATGGTTGCAGATTTTAAGCAGGGAGGGATGACTGCCTGGGCCAGGGAGAGATTGAAAATTCTGGTGAAGGTGGGGGCGAGCTGGAGGGCACATGCTTTGAGCACCCTGCCAGGTACTCCATCTGGGCCAGTAGCTTTCCTGGGGTTCACTGATTGGAGGGAACGTCTAACATCATGCTCCCGTACAGTGAGTGGAGTGGTGCAGTAACCGGGTGGGTGTGGGGGCAGGGCAGGATCAGATGGGTGCTGCTGTGGTGCATCAAAGCGTGCAAAGAAGCAGTTTAGCTCCTCTGCTAGTGATGCACTCAGGTCTCCTGTTGTCACCTCACAGCTTCTATAGTTAGTGATGTTTTTTATGCCCTTCCACACCTCCCGTGAGTTGTTACTGGACAGATGGGGTTCTATATTCCTTTTATGGTCAGTCTTTGCGGTTTTTATTCCCTTATCCAGGTTGGCTCGAGCAGCTCGGTACAGAACTCTGTCACCTGACCTGAAGGCAGTGTCGCGGGCTCTGAGGAGTGTGCGAACCTGGCTGGTCATCCATGGTTTCTGGTTGGGGTAAACACGAATGTTTTTGACCATAGTCACATTTCCGATGCAGAAGTTGATGTAGTCCAGTACTGTTCCTGTGTATGTTTCCATTTCCTGATATTCAAATAAGTCCCAGTTAGTGTGTTCAAAGCAGTCCTGTAGGTCATCGAGTGCATTACCAGGCCAGGTTGTAACAGTTTTTGTTGTAGGCCTTGCTCTGCGTCTGAGGGGGGTATAAGCTGGGGGGAGCAGGAGGGAAAGATGGTCTGACTGCCCGAGGTGGGGGAGGGGTATGGCTCTGTATGCATGTTTAATGTTCGAGTAAACATGGTCCAGAGTGTTCTCCCCCCTAGTAGAACACTTGACATGCTGGTAGAATTTTGGGAGTACAGTCTTCAGATTAGCCCTATTGAAATCTCCTGCAATCATATGAACACCGTCGGGGTGAGCCCGCTGCTGTTCATTGATGGTGTTCAGCAGGAGAGAGAGTGCCGTATTTACATTAGCACTGGGTGGTATATACACAGCAGTAATTATCACAACTGTTAGCTCTCTCGGTAGAAAAAATGGTCAGCATCTCACGGACATGTACTCAAGGTCTGGGGAACAGTGATTGTCTATAATTGTCCCGTTTTTACACCAGTTCTCATGCACATAAATACAGAGCCCCCCACCTCTGCTCTTACCGGAGTCCGCAGTCCGGTCCCAGCGTAGCAGAGAGCGGCCTGCTAGCTGTATGCTAGCATCGGGTATCCCGGGGTGAAGCCAGGTTTCGGTGATAATCAGAACACAGCAGTCACGAACATAGCGATTTCTAGCTAGTTGCAATTCCAAATAATCCGTTTTATGCACCAGGGATCTGGCATTAGAGAGATAAAGGCTCGGTAGAGGTGGCTTGTGGGGTTGTGATCTTAGCCTTAACATAACGCCAGACCTGCAGCCTCGCTTCTGCTTCCTCTCCCTTCTCCGTCTGCGCCGCCTCCCAGGCCCGACAACAATCCACGGAGAGCCCAGTGATCTCGCTATTTCGTCTGGGATGTTGTGCGTGTAATGAAAGTGACTCGAAACAGGTATTTGGTGCTGCTCACCGATGTCCAAAAGGGTCTGACGTCTATAGTTGATGTTTGCAAACTCGGCAATGCAAACACAAGAAAAAAGGATATACAAAAATAACATTAAAAAGCACTGAAAGGGAGAGCCGTGAGCCGCTGCAACCATGCGCGCCACCATCTTGGAAATAAAACAGGTCTCTCTTGAAAATGAGTTCTCGTGACTCAATGACTCTACCTGTATAAATAAAGGGTAAATGGAAAAAAAGTTAGTTTAGTTAACTGTTAACTGCTGATAGCCATGTCACTAAGACTTTTACACGGCTTAAGCATACTATAACTGGTTAATTGGTTATATAATATACAGAAACAAAACTTTCTCTTGCCCAGATGAGTGTAGAATTGGGCAGCCTTACTGTTTGTGAAATGAAGCATGTTCAGTTTTTGCTTTAATGGAGCCATTTCTGGATGGCAGAAGGTTTACCAGCTTACTGTAGGGATGACTGGTCTATCACAAGGAGGGCTTTCTTCTAGTGTTTTTTGAAATCAAAGAAAAATGACTTTCAGATATTCTCACCACTCATTTTCAGATCACAAAATCTTCATATCAGTTGTGCTGGAGTTGGCACCTGGCAAAAGAACCTGCCAGAAGAGCCTTCAAATCTCCTTCTGAGAGGGCTTTAACCACAGCTCAGCATAGGCAGGGTTTGAGCTGGTTATGTTCTGTGCCTCTATCATCGAGGCAGCCACCTTGAGCTGTGCAAGGCAACTGCTATGAGCTGGGAGTCACAACAGTGCCTCTCCTGGTAGCTATCTGCAAACTTGATGGTATACACCCCTGGGTGAAGGGGGCTGCCAAGCTAAAGAAAGACTCCTATTGGGCCTTGTTGGCCGGTAGGACTACAGAGTAGTAGAATGGTATCAGTAGGCCAAGGGTGCTGCAGCCCTAGTTGTTGCTGAGTTAAAAGCTTGAATGTGGTAGGAGTTTGGTGGAGTTTTAGATAGAGACTCTCAGCCTGGACAGAGAAAAGTCTGGCCAATAATTAGGTGGCTGAGTTGAAGAGAGCCTCAATTTACAA